CAAAGCTGAGACGACAAACATTTCACGGAATAAATCTGTTAGCATAGTAACAAATGGCTGAATAACCACAGCACCAAAGCAACAGTGCAAATAAATATTACCAACCACGAAAACGATGAGGAACTTGAGAGCTTTTCGTCTCCTATATTGGAAATGCGAAGCAAATAAAAAGCAAGAGAAACTTTTAAACTTTACTTGGGTGGGTCAAATCTAGTTTATTTGTTTCCTGCTGTAAAGATCTGCATCTAAAAACAAAGCCAATGGCAAGTAGACAAACGCCATTCCTTTATGTTTTAATCTAATGGCTGGAGATATTAGTAACGGAGCCAAGATTTTTTTCTTAGGGAGCCAAAATTTTTCCTAACAAAATTATCTTAATATGTTATGATCAAAACAATTTTCATTTGTTTAAATATATAACATCTATAAACATTAAATATTAACTTTAATTATAAATGTATGTCTATTTAATAAATATACAGTATAGTTATAACAAAAATTAAACCAAGAAATAACCTTTGATTAAATATTTTACAACATAACAAACCATCTAAGTAGGTCATTACGAGAAGATACTCCAATATGTCACCTATGCAACACACACACACACACACACACACACACATATAACTATGCAATATAAATATAACTATCTTCAATTAAAAAAGGGATAATTTTAGAAATCTCCCCTGAGGTTTCTGACAGTCTCAATGACCTCCCCTGAAGTTTCGCAATTCCCAGCTACCTCCCCTAAAACTAAGTAGATAGTGTCAGATTCAACCCAATTGAGGTGGACAATGAATATAAAATTGCAATCAGGAGAGAGAAAATGAAGAAATTCCACCTCTGCCCTCAAGAATGTCATTAGTGAGGATGTTTATGTTGAATAGTACAATGGCCAAGTTTCTTTGAAATTTCAGGGGGTGTATGTGAAACTGATGGAAAAAGGCAAGGATGACTACAAGAAATTGTCTTCTGCTTCATGCCAACGGCTCTTTGTGCAGTTGTTTGTAACTCTTTGTGCAGTTGTTTGTAACGGTAAAAAGAAACAGTAGTCTTGCTTTGGAGCTTTGTATAATTGCCTACTGGAGTTGCAACAGAAAGCATTTGGCTGTTGTTGGGTTGTGGCTGAGGTTTCTGCAAAAGTGCTCATGCAAGTGTTGCTGAACTAGCTACAAACAGATGCATATGGCTAATTATGTCCACTAATTGCTCTTGAGTAGATTTTGAAGGCTGATGTAGATGCCGCTCTTCAGGTCTTGAACTTTGCCATATATCATCAAAAGCTAACTGAAATGAAAGAGCATAAGCAAGAAAAAGAAAGAGAAAATGAAAGAAAGTGTAGATCCGAGAATAATGCAAGTGACACCGGTAGACCTCAGCATCAAGGTGCCAGAAATGATAGAGAAAATGGTGATGCTTCTGGTTGAACAGAGTGACTTGTTCCAGAGCAAATCAAACTGAATGACTGTAAACCCATGATTTTGAATGTTTGCTTTCTTTGTGTTTTTTCGCTGTGCTTCAGCTGGAAGCTCAGATTTTCTTATTTGGCTGTAGAAAGCTCTTATCCTCTACAGATATGTTGACTAAGCACATATGACTACAGTTCACTTTTTGAGATCATGATAGAAAGACACCCAAAGTTTGAGTCCGGATTATTGGATTTAGTGCTTGATTAATTCTTTAAATCTTGTTCTAATAACTCAGCCATTTTTCTTTAAATCTTGTTCCAATAACACAGCCATGTTCTCTTTTAAGCATTTTGTAACTTCACAGAATATCTAATGCTTTGTCCAATTGAGGCTACGTTTCATTCTGTTTGCCATAGGATCATTAAAATCTTCCAATAACAGCCTTCAGTTTTGAACACTCTATATCTATGTGCTTCTTTGATAACAGTGACATTATTGATTGATTAGTTGTATTCGATTATGCTGCACTTTTTCTCTACTTGACTACACTGACGATATCGCTTCAATATTTCTCCTTGCTTTACAAATTCCCTTTTCATATTGCTTCATAAATTTTCACTTTCCATATTAACTTTACTAGCCAACAAAAATGTCTCCTCGTTTTCAATTAATCTAATCATAGTTTTACTTACTATATATACAATATACTGACCAAATTCACCATTCCCAAACGTAAGCTATATATTTTTGAAAAGCTGCTATTTCTGTCAGCCACCAACTCAATTGCAGTATATATGAAGTCAGCAAGCAAAAGATGCTAATCTTTCCAGTTGAATATCAACTGACAACTTCACAGTAGACAACTTCACAATTATTAACATTGGTTGAATATAATGATAACTTTACATATTCTATGTACAATAGACTGACAAAACAAATCAAAAAACCAAATGCTAAAGCAAAAGATCTTATTTCCAATTTTCAGTTCACATACTCATTCAGTTCAAAATCTTTTCCACACGAAGAAACTAAGATCTTCTGCCAGCTTTACTCCCACTACACCTGCCAGCTTGACTCTGAACACCGTCCTATAAATACCTTCAACATCCTAACACTTAGTAATATCAAGATCAAAAACATCAGGCCTGCTCTCTCACTACACTTCTCAACTTCGCTTCCCTTCAAATCTTAACAGAAAACAATGACACATAATGCAATGGCCTTAACTGATATTCACTGCTGCTCCACAAATTGGACTACATTGGTCCAAGTAATTGAGGCCACTCACATTTTAGAAGCTGCAAGATTTTCAACTGGAAGAAGATACCGCTGCTTCGTTCTTGCCAATTCACAGGTATACAATGAACATCAACTACTGCTATACTACTTTTAACCTATAAAGTAAATGTAAGTTATTTAAACTCACTGCAATCCTATAGGGAATTCAAGTAAAAGCAATCGCTGTTGACAATGCTATTCCACTTGTTAATGGATTGCTACTACCATTGAAAAAGTATTTTGTTTCAAATGCATCCGTTCATCCAAGCCAACAAACATCTTCAACTACAGACTATCCATACTATTGGACAATCACAGCTACAACAACAATTGAAGAAGTTAATGAAGCAGTGGATGAAACAATACCACCATACCTACATTTGCACCAATTTTCCAACATTCAGACTTATGCAGACTCAAACAAATATATGAGTATGTTAAACACTCCTCCACTTTTACCACTATCAACATCTGCCTAACCTTCCAAACACAAATTTAAAAATGCTTTCACTGCAGATACATTTGGGATTGTTGTTTTTGCACGTCCAATGAGGGAGATAACAATTCAAGGACCGATAATTCCTGCAAGAGATTATGTAATCATCAATCAAGAGTAAGTTCTTTACCATATTCAAACTCAAAATGAAAAAAATTGCCTATTGACACTGATCTTACTGTATACTCGGGGAAAAACCAGTCATCTTAACACTTTACAATGACTTCCAGACAAATGAAGGTATACAAATCGCAGCAAGAGAAGAGCCATCAGTCATCTTGGCCATGAGGCTCAGAGCAACTAACACAAACTGTAAAGCTTGAACATCCCACCTTATTATGCATTTTTTCACTGAAAAAGATATAATACTAAAGCTGATTTTTCATACAAGAATAATCTTATTAGAACTGATTTTTGTTCAAACACAATGTGCAGATCTTTCACTGGCTACGCAAGTTTCATCTGTCATAATGATTGAACCTGCTCTAAGAGAAACAATGGAGCTTAATCACTGGTAAACACTCCCACACCAAATATTTATTCCTAAAATTAAAGATTTAATTCTAACATTCCAAAAAACAAATCAAGGTTTCACAACAACATATCGCTGATCACACAAATGATTCATAATGAGGCTTATGCTGATCCAAGAGTTATTCTACCTCCAGTCAGTACAAATGAAATCAGTCCCATAAACAGAGCTCTTCAGGCCGTAAGATTTGTAAGACATTCATAACTTAACCTTTCAAAAACAAGAGTGATAATTTATTACTTCTACCTCGACCTCTAACATACTCTAAATGACAGAAACGAACAGCATGGATTGAAGGTCGAGTTGAAATTAACTATCAAAAAGCTCCTTTCTGGTATTTCACATGCTCCAACTGTCATGAACCCACTGACTACATAGGAATCTTGGACATTAATTGCCACTATTGCAGAGTGAAAATCAACCCCGCTCCTAGGCAAGTAAACGATATTTTTATCCGCCTAAAAATTTTCCTTCCGTGACTAATGAAAGAATAACAAGTTAGCTAATACATCTAATTACATATATAGAGCTTGCATTGCACTTACCATACTTGATGCCACTGGAAAAATGGATACACTTGCCTTGGGAGAAGAAGCTGAAAAATTGATGTCCATTCAAGCTGCTGAACTAACCGAGATAAACAATCAGGTATTAAAGAAAAGCAACTACAAACTGCTGACATATTAAATCTCTTTACTTCTTAACATGTTTCATTGTGACTATAGCAGAATATGATTTTACTTCATCACATAACACAAGCAATCCAAGGAAAAAGACTCATGTGCTTCGTTAAAAAGGCAACTCCAAGAGAAAAAGCAATCAAAGGAACGACATTCACCATTGTCACCAGCTCTGAAGTGGAACAGCTCGCAACTGACCAGCAAACTTCACTGAACTTCCACAATGATTATGCATAGCATTAATTTCCAACAATATAATGCTTGTGTACTTAAAAACTGAACTACTTCTGTTTCATTGTAATTATCTTGTATCTCTTTTAATGTATTTCTGTTATCTTATATTCAATTTACTCTCTTTTGCCTTAAAAAATAAATATACTTAAACTACACAACCAATTCTAATATAAATGTCCACCTATGAAAGCATTAAATTTGAAATCTAAATAAAACCAAATATCAACGTACAAATAAACTAAAATAAAATTTATTACAAAATTGAAGGTGGGAACTGGCTGTGCGTAGCACAGCCGGGCCTTACTAATATATATATATATATATATATATATATATATATATATCAGTAGCACTGGGTGATTCAAATATAGACACCAAGAAATTCAGTATCATATCCAGAAAATTGTAATAAAAATATCACATTAACAGAAACACCAGACAACAGTGATTCACTCAACCACCCCACCACCCCCCCCCCCCAAAAAGTACATCAATTCCGTAAAAACCCTAAATTAAAAGGAAGAAAACCTAATTCGGCTATCTACTTATCTTTAGCGGCCAGACCAACCCCATACTTCTCTTGCAACTTAGTTATCTCTTCTTCTTTCTTCTTCTGGTCAAACTTCTTGCTCATCTTAGCTTGCTGGTAGTAGAGAACGATGAGGTATCTGTTGGCGACATTGAAGCCAGACAAGTGGTCGACGGCGGTTTTAGCATCATAGATATCTTCATAGACAACGAAGGCGGTGCCGCGAGTATCCTTGTTCGTGCCGATTCGAATCTGCCGGATGGCGCCGTATTTCCCGAATATATCGTACATTTCCTCGCTGGTGATGTTGAACGGAAGGTTTCGGACGTAGAGAACTCTGTTCACCTCCGGTGGAAGCCTTGTGTTGCCCTTCCTTAAGCTGATTGTCGCCATCTTCTCAGAAGAGAGGAGAATCGACGCCGAAAATGATTTGTAGGGTTTAGGAAATTGCAGAAGAATTGGGAAATTTGGGAATGGAGGGCAAAAAATTTCTATTAAGGCACCGTGTACGCTCTTACCGAGAAATAGAATTGTTAATAGGGCCGAGCTAACCCAAAATCGGCCCACTTAGCCGCAAATAATTGGGAGCGCGGCTTGGACCATTATCAATATAAATAGTATAAGAGTAAAATCTTATATATATTGATCGTGTATAAACTATCACTATTTAATTTATGATATGTGTATAAAAATTAAATTTTAAATTTAAATTTTATATAATTATCATTCATCCAACGTTGATAGTGTATGCACTGTCAGTATAGGAAAAATTAATCCTTACAAGAGTAAATCTTATATACACTGACAGTGTATATACTATCATCGTTTGATTCATGATATGTGTACAAAAGTTGAATTTCAAATTTAAATATTATATAGTTGTCTTTCATCCAACTATATACACTATCAATATAAGAAAAATTAATCTTAATAAGAGTAAATCTTATATACACTGACAGTTAAAAAAAAAGTTTGAGGTCACTGATTTCAAAATGTATATTTGGACGTTGTATCTTTGCAATTTTACATTGTACATTGTATCTTTAAAAAAAAAGAAAAAGAAAAAGAAAAACAGCGAAGAGTTTCTAGAATGGGAAAATCAATGAAATTGTCCCTCATATTTGTAACAAGTTCTTTTTTGGTCCATCGCATATGAAAAGATGTAAAATGGTCTCTCACATTTATAAAACATTATTTTTTGTTCCCTCACATATGGAAAGATAGAAATGGTTCCTCACATTTATTACAAATATATTTTATTAAACCTTTAGTTATATAATTTTATTTTACATGATTAAAACGCATCTATGATGTTATTATTACATCATTCGATTCTCTCTAGGGCTTTTTACTTCAACGATTTTCCCTAATTTGAACGGTATGATTTAACTTTTCTTTAGCAAATAAGAACAACTTTTGATGAATTCTTTATCTACTCCTCAATAGATGTAATATTCCAATTATGTGAATGCCAATTGAATCGATTTTATTAGCTATGCATTTCAAACTTTTTCATATTTTTTTTGTTAGATTTGACCAGTCTATTTACTCTTCATAAAAAATAAAAAAATTTAACAAATAATAAAAGAAAAGAAAGACCTGTTTTATAATTGAACACAAACTACATGCATATCAACTCACGATTATTTGGAGACTCGGTATCTTTTTATTTCTTTACTTGTTTTAGTTTTCGACTTTGTAGAAAGCCAAAACTTCAACCTATACTTAATAAAAAGATCAGAAAATGGAAGCCATAATTTCAAATTGTCATTGAAACAACTGATTGTGATCCAAACGAAAACCTCTAATTGAATAAGTAAGAAAATTTCAGAAGAAAATGATAACCGATCATGCTGTCTAAGTTTGACGTCCTTGTTATAAGATTTGGCTGTGGTGGAAACAACTGACCGAAGCCCACCTGAACCTGCCCCTTGTCCTAGCAGCTGAATGCTATTATAACTTGGTGATAGATGCAACAATTCGCAACACCTGAACTACAATTCACAACTCATCATGGGGTTCATCTTTTGAATCAGCAGAGCTTCCTCATACACCCTTCTTATGATAGGATTGAACACAGCTTCCAACTCTGCCATCTTCTCATCGTAGTTTACCTTCTCTGCATTTTGATTTTCATCCAACCATTCAAGTGCTTCCTTCAATGTTGTCTCAATGCTCTCTTTGTCATCAGAATCAATTTTGGCTGCAAGCTTGTCATCATCCCTGATGGTGCTTTTCATGTTGTAAGTTTAGCTCTCGAGTTTGTTTCTAGAATCAATCTTCTCCAGCACCTCCTTATCCTGATCTGCGAACTCTTCTGCTTCCTTTACCATCCTATCAATCTCCTCCTGTGTGAGACTCCCTTTCTCGTTGCTGATGGTAATTGAGTTCGATTTCTTGGCTGCCTTGTCTATTGCAGTTACTTGTAGTATGCCATTCGCGTCCACCTCAAACGTGACCTCAATTTGGGGCACTCCCCTACAACACCACGATAAACGTTATTTAGGTAGTTCATATCCAGCTTGCAATAAAATCAATGATACTTTGCATCATCATCAATTGATTTTCAGTTTGTTGCATTATTTAAACAGAAAAATTTTGACTATTCAGATGATCTAAGAGATTGTGTTACCTTGGAGCAGGTGGAATGCCAGATAGGTCGAACTTTCCTAGCTCATGACAATCTTTTGTTAAGCTCCTTTCACCTTGATAAACTTACAATTTTCCAGCAAGGAATTTTTTTCTTGTTAGTGCTATTTATAGAGCAAATTAAAGATATCTTCCAATTAATTACTCAGTATAGTGATCCGTATTTTGCCATTACCCTGATTGAAACTGTGGTTTGCTGATCTTGATAAGTTGTGAAGATCTGAGACTTCTTGGTTGGAATGCCGCTGTTTCTTGCAATCAATTTTGTCATGACTCCACCAACAGTTTCAATGCCCAGACTCAAGGGAGTAACATCAATGACAAGTACATCTACAGAAAACAAAATACAGAACCAAATGGATGTCATATTCAGTTTCATTCCCAAAATTAAACCAATTAAATTTGAACAATGGTTCTTTAAACGAAGAGCTCTATAAGAATCACTTGCCTTTAGTTTCTTCACCACCATGGCCACCGAGGATTGCGCCTTGAACTGCAGCCCCATGAGCTACAGCCTCATCTGGATTGATCCCCTTGCTTGGTTCTTTCCCGTCAAAGAAATCCTTCAACAGTTGTTGCACCTTAGGGATCCGAGTGCTCCCTCCAACCAATACAATTTCATCAATGTCAGTCTTCTTCAAGCCTGCGTCCTTCAAGGCTTGCTTCACTGGTGCCATGGTCTTTTTAAATAAATCCATGTTCAGTTCTTCAAATCTTGCCCTTGTTAGTGGCTCGGAGAAGTCAATTCCATCGAAGAGTGACTCAATCTCAACGCGCACTTGGTGCCGGTTACTCAAGGCCCTCTTGGCTCTCCACATTCCTTTCTGAGCTTCCCAAGAGCCTTCTTATGATTGCTGATATCTTTGTTGTATTTCTTCTTAATTAATTTCACAAAATAGTCCATTACTCTCTGATCAAAATCTTCTCCTCCCAGATGAGTGTTGCCATTGGTGGAAAGAACCTCAAAAACACCTCCATCAAGAGCTAATATGCTAACATCAAAAGTACCACCACCAAGATCAAAAACTAGAATATTCCTTTCCTTTTCTTGCTTATCAAGACCATAAGCAATTGCAGCTGTTGTTGGCTCGTTAATAATCCGAAACAACATTTAGCCCTGCAATTGTTCCTGCATCTTTTGTAGCCTGCCTTTGTGCATCATTGAAATAAGCTGCAAACACAAAATACACAGTCAATTGTAATGAGATTAAAAAACAAACTTTAACTGTTCTTGTTTATACTGATCTTTTGATTCTTGTGGACTAAAACGGGCAGAATTCGAAGTATCTGAAATTGATAATGTACCTGGAACAGTAATAATTGCATTCTTAACTTCTTTTCCCAAATAAGATTCCGCTGTTTTCTTCATCCTTTGCAGCACCATAGCACTGACTTCCTCAGGACTTAACAACTTCATCTCACTATTTTTCATCTTAACATCAATATAAGGCTTCCCATCTTTGTTAGCAACCTTATAAAGCAACAGTTTCATATCCCTTTGAACCTCAGGATCATCGACCCTTCGTCCAATAAACCTCTTAACATCAAAAACAGTGGATTCAGGGTTAAGGGCTGCCTGATTTTTTGCAGCCTCTCCAATCAACCTCTCAGTATCAGTGAATGCAACCCATGATGGGGTGATTCTGTTTCCTTGGTCGTTTGGTATGATCTCAACGTTGCCGTTTCGATACACCCCGACACAAGAATATGTAGTCCCAAGTTCAATGCCTAGCACTGTCCCAAGATTTTGCTTTTGAGTACCCTCTGCAGCTAATGCTATCCCTGCCAAGAATTCTTCAAAATTTTCCAAAAAAAATAAATAAATAGATTAGAGACTTCCCATTCATCTTTACTACAAATTTAAGTAAAACAAGCTATGCAATTATTGAGGTTGGTTTTCTGGATAGTAATAAATACTAAAAATATCATTGCCATAAAACTCGAAAAATTCTGAAGGACATTAATCTTTGTAATCTTTATGGTTTGCACAGCAATTACACGGGTAATTATTACCAATAAAACAATAAACAGGTTAATATTCTTTTTCAGGTAGGGGAAATTTGTTGCAGATTGGCACAAAGCAATTGGATTATGGAATTGTTACTTGTTAGTTGTTACTCTACTGATCTTTTTTTCTTTCTAAGCTCAATTCATGAAACTATGTTTTTTCCTTTGGAAGGATATTTCGTAAAATTATTAGTTTTGAGTTTTGACTATCTATGCTTACATGAAAGTACACATGCAGAAAAAAAAAAAAAAAACCCAAGAAAAATATAAAATCAAAAAGTCGTGTGAATCACATAATTCAATAATGTAACAGTAACAACTGATGAGAAACTTTGTTTTGAAAAGAAAAAAAGGAGTAAGAATCATGCTAGTGTTCGTTACCATGCTTAGGACTAGAGATTGTTCAGATCAGAATTTAGTTTTAAGCTACAAACTAATGATTCAACTTCCAGTTGTAGATTTCTAAAACTAATAATTAGCCAAACCAAGAAAGAGAAAAGAAAAGTTATCTTAGTTAACCATTGAAACGAAAAACTCAGAACACCAACCAAGATAATAGAGCTATACTAAGCAATTGATGAGGTTTATTAATGATGATTGCAACGAAGTTTACTCACATAATAATAAACATGGCCAAAAAAAAAAAAGAATCTGGGGATGCCTAGTAACAGATACTAATTACAATTAAGATTTATTTACATAATAACAAACAGCCATGTTTGAACGGTAAAAAAAAAAAAGATGAAGAAGAAAACTCTTATGGATTAATACCTGAAACGAAGAGAAGAAGAAGCCAGAAAGCTTTATTCTTCACGGAAGACGAACAAGGCATTGTCGTGAATATATTTGTGAAAAAAATATCAAGAATGATAAACTAAAAATAATGTA